TGTGTAGAAAATAAGAAAATTTATTTAAAAAAATTGAGAAACATCGTATATCTTGATGTGCGGTTGTCTATGTACTGTATTTGTTACAGAATATTGACGCTGGGGTGAATAAAGAACATTTTCGTAAATTCGTTGATGTACGAATGACTATCAATAAAATTCCGGGTATAACCTGGGTGTCTTCAAGGCCCGAGTGAATAGGTTGCTTATGGGACGACGTGCTCTATCGTAGACCGCATCGTGCACCACCAGGCGAGATAGTGGACAAACGTCGGCCCGTCAAATATAACAAAAAAATATGAATGTTGCCAGGTTTAAAAATTTTAGCACCAATTGGGGAATTTTTAATTGTCAAAATTATCGCTTGACTTTTACATGTGACTCATAACATAGAACTGAGTGTTAAGTTAAATAAATACATAAATTAAGTAAAAACGCGGGTTACTCACTGTGACCTGCGCCAGTGAGCTGCGCGACGTCGCCGCGACCGCGCACGCTGCTCATGAGGAAGAACCCCTCTGTGGTTTGAAACTAGTAGAGCTTTTCTCAGTATATTCACGTGAGTAACCCGCGTTTTTACTTAATTTAGTATGTCGCACGATAGTTATTATAAAAACAAATACATAAATGTTTTGTCTGTTTAGCTTTTTGGAAAATAAATGACTCGATTTCATAGATGTTACTAAAAAAACGATAAGTATAATAAAATGACAAATAGTGTGTTAGCTTCTTAAAATTGAATGAAATATAGCAGTTTTTCTTTAATATTGACATGAAAATAAAAAAATCATTCTACTTACATTAAGAAAGCAAAAATAATAACCTATATTAAGTTAAGTTATTGGTGTCTCTCTCTTTCATTTGCTGTTAGTAAGAGAGGGCGATAGTAAAACTATTATAAAAGGAAGAGGCTGTGATTTCCCTATTGTTTCTCTTCTCGAATGCTTCATCATACGCCGTGAACTTTATTTCGTTTTCGTCCCGAAGTAAAATGGTTCTGTCTCGGTAATACAATAGTTTTACAAACAAATAACTGGTGAACTATTGCAAAAAGCAAACTTCTTAAGCCCATACGAACTCATAGTACATTATCAAAACATCACGCCATGTACCTAATTATTGAGGAGGGTTCTCGTCAGTTGGCACGTGCGATGCGAATAGTGCCTACTTTACGTCTAGTGTTTCAAGTGCGTATTCCTATGAATATTTTTATTAAACTAAAAGAAAAAAAATACATTTTTATTCTTTGTTTTTACTTTATACATCGAAAGTACTCGTTATGGCGAGTTGTTGTGCCGCGGGACGGAAACGAAATAGATTTCATTGTGTAGTATTATTTAGTATGGTTTGATAGAAAGATGAAATTATACCAGAGTATGTAAGTAGTCAACCAAGTTGTTTAATACGCAGGTAAGAAAATAAAATATTTGCTCCAGTGAGACATTAACTATTATAAATACTAAATTATATGGTACTAGCCTTAACCCTCGGCTTTGCGCGCGTAGTCTGGTTTCATCCCATGGGAGCAATCAAAGGGGGATAAAAATCCTATCACCTAAGTCAGCCCTTACCCTGCCTGTATACCAAATATCATCAAAATCCTGTTCAAATTCAAATTCAACTTTAATGCATCTATAATGTGTACAGGGTTGTTTACAATTTCTTACAAAATATGTTCCAACTATAGGCCCTGTTCAGATGGTTGGCGCGATCACTACCGTGTAACGTATCTTGGGTGACTCCCGCACGGAACAACTCTTTGTGTGATCCACAGATTGTAGTTCCGTGTCTGTGTGTGATGTGTATGTGAACTTGTATGTTTGTAAACGTACACACGACACAGGAGGAAAATCCTAGTGTTGGGTAACATTTATTTTCTTAACTGTGTATAAAGAACTTGATTGGCTGTATATAAGTAGTGATTTGTTCTGTCGATTAACTGCATTTACAGTGGCACAGTAGCGGTGATGGTGGCAAATGCGCTCCAGAGTGCCAAACACGAAAACTATCGTGAATGTATTTGTATCGCCATTGAAAGCATTTTCTATGTGTTCAAGCAGCGCCCCTACCGTGCGTAAGAGGAACTAAATGTCGCAAGCACAAATGATTTTAATAACTATCGTATAGTATCGTGTTGCTATCGCTGATCAAATCAGGGTGCTTACTCTTGAAACCAATCTCAATGTCAATGCAATTTCAATCCAATAAAATCTCAATAATTATTCAATGTTAAAACTATACAACCACAATCGCAGCTGTTACAATAGCATTCAGAGTACGGAATATAAAACCAAACTCAATACCATTTAGTTCAATCAATATCCACGCAATACATATGCAATGGGCGCTAGTGTTGCAACTCGAGAGTACGAAATTTCGCAATACCAATGTCGATCGATCGGTATTGGATTCAAGAGTAAGCCGAGCGCCGTACGCGATCTTGTTTCGATTTCTTTAAACGTAAAATAAATTATTCATGCTTGGCACCCAGGTACTAAGGTCACTGTCCTCCCCATCACCATACGGTGGATTTTTGGCATGTAATACCTGAGTTCAACAACCACTCGTAAGATAAGATAGGTGACTCTTAATGACATGAATTTCATCAACTTACCTATGACACGTAACGGTACGGTGTGTTCCCTTACAAAAGTAAATCTTAGTTATGACATAGTTTATAGGTTGGTTGGTAAAAATGGTCATACGAGTCGTAAATCTGAAATTGTTTATATCGATAGTTAGACATATCAACTTGTCTTCCCTATGAAGGTAGACCGCTGGCTTCCAAGTAGGTATCAATTTCAACTTTCTCTCACAATTAGTGTTAGAAATAGGTCTTAAGTTTTGTAACTAGGTTTATGTGAAAATGCGTTTCTCCATGAACATTTTAATAAAAAAGACGTTGCTAATATTATTTCATGCGTTTTATTTCTTAAACACCTTTTTTTTAAGGGGCGAATATCGTCGACTGACTGCTCCTGCCTGGGTGAGGCGGGAGGGAGCGTCAAACTCTTAATGACTAAAAACCACCCCGTCCCTACTCCTGCGCTTCGAGCCGGAGCCCCGGTAACCCGTTATGTTCTCCGCGGCTCCGTATCGGCATCAGCCCTTAACAGTGACGTAAACTATACAACTATACCGTTCGGGGCCCGTTGCAAATTAATTCATCGAATGGGCCCTTTCCCTTATAAAAAAGAGACAAGATGAAAACATCTGCACGGGGCCCTCGCTACCTCGAGGCCCGTGGCTTTTTACTGACTTGCCCCCATGTAGTTATACCATTGCATCATAGGATCTAGACAGACGGACGTCATTTCAACTGCTGATTGGTGTTAGTATGCAGTTTCATGACTGCAATTGAACTGCAAACTAAACGTGCAGTCCGATTGCAGTTCTATTGCAGTCGTGACCAAACGAGCAGTCCGATTGCATTTCTATTGCAGTCGTGACCAAACGGTTGCAAACCAAACGTGCAGTCCGATTGCAGTTCTATTGCAGTCATGACCAAACGGTTGCAAACCAAACAAGCAGTCCGATTGCAGTTCTATTGCAGTCGTGTCAACTGCATCCA